GGCAGGGGGGCAGATGGCACTCGCAGCTCCCTGTGACAGGGCTGGGATGACGCCAACTCCCAGCACCCCTCACCCCACTTTCGGCATCTTCCCCTGCTACAGGTGTCCCAGGCCCCACACAGGCTTTGGCCGTTCCTGCCCTTGCCCGAAACACCCGGGGCCCTGCAGCGCTGCCCTTGCCCCTTCTCTTGCAACAGCCATGCAGCACCCTGCCCCTGGGGGGCAACCCCTGTCTGGGCACGCTGGGGCCGAGCGGCTGGCAGCCCTGTGGCAGAAAAGGCCCTGGCAGGCTGGGAGGACTCCAAGTTGCACAGGAGCCAGCAAAGCGCCCGCGGGCTGCATTAGCAGGAGCATTGTGAGCAGCCAGGGAGAGGATCCTTCCCCTCGGCTCAGCGCCCTGAGGCACAGCCCAGCGCTGTGTCAGCTCTGGGTTCCCCAGCCAGGGATTGGGACAGATGGGAGTGAGGCCAGGGAAGGGCCCCGAGGATGATGAAGGGCTCAGAGCATCACTCATATGGAGGGAGGCAACGCAAGCTGGGATGGCTGGGCCCAAGGCGGGGAGCCTCAGGGGGATCTTATCAACATTATAATATCTCCTGGGGGCAGGAAAGAAGATGGAGCCAGGCTTCTCTCAGAGGTGTCCACTGAAGGCACAAGAAGCAACAGACACGGGCTGAAACACAAGAAAATCTGCCTACACATAGCAAAACCTTTTTTCTGCTGCAAGGACGGTCAAACACTGGAACGGGTTGCCCAGAGAGCTGTTAAGTCTCCATCCTTGGAGATACTCAAAACTCGCCGGGACAGGCTGTGGGCAACCTGCAGTAGCCAACCCAGCTTTGAGCAGGGGGTGGGACGAGACGATCTCCAGAGGCACCTCCAGCCCCAGCGATTCTGGGGCTTGCCCCAGCCCCAGCACCTGCAGTACCCTCTTGCTTTGCTGCTTTTCTGCCCTGGCTCTTCCCCTGCCAGCCCAGGCTCAAGACCTTTGCTCTTCCCAGGCCTCCACTCCACAGCAAAATGGGAGCTGCCCGGCACTGAGCCCCGGGGCTCCAGCAATGCCTCCCCATGAGCTGGTCAAGAGCCCAATAGGCCAGCGCTGGGCAAACTCGGCCAGAGCCAGGGCAG